TAAGACCTAGAATGAAGACACACTTGCATTGCATTTATATTCTGTGTTAAAGAGCTGATATTTATTCATCTGTTCCTTCAGCTACACTAGGAAATGTAAAAGGAAGAATCATTTGTTTTCATCTTCTGCACGACACTCACGAATGGAAAGATTATAACAAAGATGCTCAATGAAACTTGCAATGTTGCCTCTGTGATATCCCACCTATAGGGCAGTGAAATACTATATATATGTATTTGTATATTTACACATACATATGCCTATATAAGTTTATGATAGCAATAAATAGAACCATACTTAAGTCCTTATTTGACAATTGCTTACTGGTAATCATTGTGTTGGCTGTCAAAGGGACAATGGGAAAGAAGCCAGACCCAGTCTCTGCTTTTGGGAGCTTTTGTAGTCAGATAACCGAAACAGGCAATAAACAAAGAACAGAGAGACTAGCAAAAAGTGAGACTAAAGGAAAAAAAAAAAGGTGGAATATGATGGTGTAAAGTCCAAGTGTCGGGAAGATGTTCAGCTTCCATTCCACCTCTGGTGGGAAGAAATTAATGAGTCTGAGCAAGGGTGTGACATCATGTTACCCATCTTTCATAGCTTGCTCTGAGTTATCACTACAGTCACAGCAAGATATGACAAAAAAATGCAAGGAGAGGCACTAGGGAGATGAGGCAGGTGGATCTCTGAGTTTGAGGCCAGCTTAGTCTAGACAGAGAGTTCCAGGCCAACCAGAGTTACATAGTGAGACCCTGTCTCAAACAAACAAACAAACCAAACGTGCAAGGAGAGAGGCTGGTTAGGTGGGCCAGAGACTTAAATAAAGGTGCAATGGAGATATCTTAGTTTGTTTTGTGTTGCTCTAACAGAATACTGGAGGCTAGATTATTTATTTATTTAGTGTGTAAATGGGTAATGTGTGTGCGGGTACATGTGCACATATGTATGTCTGTGGAGGCCAGGGAACAACCTCGAGTGTTGTTCCTCAGTCACTGTCCACCTCTTTTGAGACAGGACCATAACAAGTAAGCTAGGCTGACTGGCCACCGTGCCCCAGGAACCTGCCTGTTTCTACCTGCTCAGTGCAGGGATTACAAGCATGTATTATCCTGGATGACTTCTTTTTTTACATGGGTTCTAGGATTTGAACCCAGGTCCTCATGCTTGCAAGACAAGCACTCTACCGAATTAACTGTGTTCCTAGCCCCTGCAGGATTTATACAGGAGTGGGTTATTTGGGCTCATGTTTCTGAGGGTGAGAGGTCAAGAGCACAGCACTGGTGTCTTCATGGCTTCTGGTATAGGCCTTAAGTTGCATCTGAACTTGGAGGTAAAGTCAAAGGCCTGAGTGTACACAAAGGGACAAGGCACTAGGTGGGGCCTCACTTTATAAGAGTCACTCAAGGCAACTAATCCTGCAGGAGCAAGAACTTACTCATTTCTTCAAGAACTAACTCAGTCCCACTAGAGTGCCATTAATCCAATCATGACCCAAGCATCTGTTAAAGGTCCTATCACCTTCATCGATGTTATGTTGGGGTCCAAACTGCAACATGAGTTTTGGAGAGAATGAACCATATCCAAGCCATAGCAGAAGGCAAAAGGAAGTGGGTAGAAATGTATTTAGGGAGAAATTAGTAGGCTTGTTGATGGAGAGGGGTGGACAGGAAAAGGCAAAAATCAAAGATGACCTCCAGGTTTCCAGGTTGAACAACTGGATAAATACTGCTGCCGTTTACCAGCATCATGGCAACTAGAGGAAGGACAAGTTTTGAAGAAAGATGATCAGATACACATATATACATGCATGCATATACATGTAAATAGTACATCAAAGTTAACCAAAGAATCTGGGACTGGGATTTAAATAATCTGGTTTCTGTTACCTGTAAGAGCAACAATTTCTCTATTCCTTTTTTTCCCCATCTGCCACTTGGGGATAATTATATGTCTTACTGCTTTGGAGCGATGCTGAGAAGATAAATGAGATAATATGTATGAAAGGACTTTGAAGTCTTTGGAGGATAAGAAGCTGTCATTATTATGTCAGAGTGTGTTTATATTTTTCATGTATCTGCTCAAAGCCATAAGGGTCATAAACATAACAGACATTCTTTCTTTCATGTTCAGTTCTCAGTAAGGAGAAGATGAGCATGTTTCTCTTTCCGTGCTGTCCCTTCCCCTCTGGTATTCTCTCCGAAGAACTCTCAGTCACTAATATTTTAAGAACCTGGAAAGAAAGAGTCCTAAAGGGTTACTAGTATACTCAGGGCAATTCTTAACTGATAATGGTAAGTCTCTCTTGATATACAGATTAAAAAGGACTTGAATGGTTCACCAATATCAATAGTCTAACATCATTCCATTTTTTTTTTTACTGTTTGACGGAAAATGGTCCAAAAGGTTAAAGTCATTTGCTTAAGAGTTCCTTTAGAGTTGGAGTAACCAGAGCTAGTAAAAGAGTTCCAAAAATAATAGTGAATATTCACCAGCGGCATTCAAGGAACTCAGCTGTGTCTCAGCTAATATTCATGAAAGGTATGTGCTGGTTTTTTTGATCACTGCAATCTTGTGAAACATGGTCTTTAGTTCTTTGAAAATGGGCATGAGTACTGATTTTTTTGGTCTAGAGTCTCAAGAGCTACATTACCCTGCCTATGGCTGTGTGTGTTGCTCTCTCTAAAAACAAGTGGAAGTGAGAACAAAACAAAAACATTCTTTGCTTTTGGGACATTGTAGCTTGACTATGAAATGGCTCCAAAAGGCTTCTATTTTGAGGTCTTGGTTGCCAACTCATGCACTTTTGAAGGTAACTGACTCCCAACGGTTTGACCCAACTAACGTATTAACACCTTTGTAATATGATGGCTTTGTTGGGCAGAGGTGTAGAGTAGGAGGTGGGGCCAAATGGGACTTAGGTTCCTGGGCATTTGCCTGTCTGGGCCATATCTTGCCCTGGCCCGTTCTTGTATTCTCTCTTTGCTTCTTGTCTGTCATAAGATGAGTAGCTTTGGCCACAGTGATGTCCTGCCTAAGTGCACAGAGCCATGTAATCCTGGATAGAACCCTCTGAAACTGTGAACTACAATAAATATTTTTTTTCCCTTGTTTCCTCTTAGGTGTTTGGTCACTGCTATTCAAAGGTAAGTAATATACCAGATTAATTGCATGATTAAAATTTTTCTTTCCTTTTGGAAGAAACACACTGATTTAGTGTCTAGTGTTGCCTGGATAGGTGTTGTGATGGTGAGGGTAAAAGGGAAGGCCTTGGAATGATGGAAAGAAAACAGGACCCGGAAGCAGGAGAGCTGGAGTTGAGTCTTACTGTGTGGTGCAGGAAAGGAAGTTAACCAACTTGATCATCATCTTTAATAACTGCAAACTGGGTATGTTTTCTGACTATAATTTTCCCACTAACTTCTCCTTCATCTTCAGTTTCTGATGCAGAATTAAGCAGAATGCCTTGTTTGTAGATAATTATAGCTTTTTCCTCTTTCTATCCATCCATTCTTTCCCTTGTCTTTTTCAGCTCAAAATGCAAGAGTAGTTGCTCTCTTCTAAAGGAGAAGGAAGTGGGCAATTATTTTTGGTATTCATACAGTGTAATTCTTAGCATATTAATCTCTTTAGAACAAAGCTGAGGAAAGATGACATAAGAGGCTGCCGTGAGAATTGAATTAATACATGCAAAGTGTTTAGCACAGTGCCTGGCTTAACGTGAGTGATAATTGTTACTTGCTATAATTTTTTTTTTAACTTAAATGATCCTCATTTATCTCGAATGGTTTAGCTGTGGCTCTGGCTGCAGACTAAAAGATAATCTGAAATTCCTCTTCTAATTGTCAGTTTGGTTGGTTGCATAATCTCTGCAGCCCTTTCTCGGTTTTCCAGCCTAGTTTCTGCTCACTTTTGAGGAAGGATATTTGAGATAACTTTTCATAACAGGATGGTAAGGCAAATGAAATCATGCACACTTTGATAACATTTAAACTTGTTTTCCCTCTGTACTGAGTCTGAAAAACAACCCTCCACACCTATGGAAACTGTATTTTTCAAGCCTGCACTTCAGCGTGTACAGGTGTGTGCCCAGGGCAACAAAAACAAAGATTACAGTGACGGTGATGGCTGCCTCCCAGGCTCAGATAAAAGTGGTGCCTCTCAGCCAGCTTCAAGGCGCCAGTCCACCTGAGGTCAGATTTTGAATTGACCCCATTTTAGGGCAGGTAGGAAGAGCCTCCCAAGGCTGGGTTTTTAACCTCACACACCAGTTTTTCTAGTCCTCCCACCCCCCTTTCTTGTTTTGAATTCCTGGGTCAGCAATTTTGCAAACTTGCTTGGGTTAGAGGTCTCTGGCTGCTGTAGATGTGAGGAGCAAAGCCAGTGGACGCGGAGACACCCTGCACCCCGAGGATCCAGAGGGTGGACAGCTGCCCCGGGGGTGGTGAGTGGGGGAAGGGAATGTCCCTGCACCAACCTAACATGCCAGCCCTAGACTTAAAGGGTCACACTGCTCTCTCTGACTCTACCCAGTGAACATGCACGCCTAGAAAAGCGGGGTCGGGCGCCGGGCAGGGGGGGCTGGTGCCCCGGCCTCTTCCTCCTCCTTCTGCCGCCACTCCCACCACCCTCCCGGGGCAGCTGCATTTGCAGAAGGCGCGGGTGCATCCCCCGTGCCGCGGCCCCAGGCACCGTCCGCGCGGGCCGGGGCACCGGCGAGGTCTGGCGGCTGGAGGGAGGCGCCGCGGCGCGGCGACTCTCCACCCTGCACGCTCCGGGCGCCGGCTGCGGCCCGGCCTCCGCCTCCCGGCCGTCGTCTTCCTCCGCCCTCCTGGGCTGGGAAAGTGGGAGGCGGCGGCGTGCTGTGCGAGCGCGCGCGAAGGGGGCGGCAGAGAGGAGGCTCCCGTGCCACCGCGGCGGCCGAGACACACGGCGACGCGGCCGCATCTGCCGGCGCTGCGGGGCCGCGAACAAAGACGGCCGGCAAGGTAGGGCGCGCTGGGCTCCGGCCGCAGGCGGCGGGGTGGCGGAGTCGCCGCATCTCCATCCTCCGGCGGGCTGGTCCCGGTTCTCCTTCTCGGGGACGCCCGGGTCACTGAGCCCCACGGCCTCGCTCGCCTCCTGGAAGCTGCCGGGCTCGGGGCCGCGCTCTTCCCAGACGCAGCCCGGCTGCTCCTGCGTGCGGGGTGGCGGTCTCCGGGGACTGTCGCTGAGCTCATCCCCGCGGGGTCACAGCTCTGCTTCCCGCCGCACTCTGCGGACCTGACTTTGGGCAACTTAGGACTGTATGTTTATTTCTTTATTTCTTTATATTTGAAGTCCTTGAAAACTTCCAGCGGTCGGTGATGGGGGATTTTTGCCCTCCCTTTGACCTAAAGGGAGGCGGAGAGGAGGTAATTGGGTGAGATTCCCTATTTCCCCGGCGACCCGGCCGCAGCCCCAGCCTCAGCTCCAGCCCGGGTGGGTCCCGGTCCCCGGCCGGCCGGCGACACCTGGCTCCGGGTGTGTAGGCACTGGATGCGCGTTGCTGCGGGTCGGGCACTACCTGAGCTCGGCCGCGGCAAGAGGGGCGCACCCGGCTCCCCAGCCCTGGCTTGCCAGAACAGCTGCCTGGCCTCTCACCCCTCGCCAGGGAGCCACTGATTTGGGTGGTGGTGGGGACAGCGCCGCAGCCACTGGCTTCGGATGCCTTTTTCCTCCCCTTTCTGGATGGCCCGGTCAGTCCAGCATTCCAGCGCCGAATTCTTTTGGTGATCATTTCCCTAGATTTTCTGAATGGGATTAGGACAGGCCGTTCAGAAATCCATTTCAGAGTTTGTCAGCCACTGCCGGGAAGGGTAAGATTATGTGTTAGCTGTTTTCAAGCAAATCTTGGTTATATCCTTTAAAATTATCCAACCTTCAGCTCTTCCCCCACCCCTTCTCTGGTTGGATAAGATTAAACTATTTTATTTTTAAGACAGGGAAGAAACATGCATTTATTATTGGGATCATTTACCACAAGGATCTCGAATGGCATGGTTTCTTAAACGATAATGTGACTTAAAAATTGGGAACTTCGTTGGATATCAAAGCATTATTTTAGTTAGAGGAAACTTTCAATTGCCTCTGCTTAGCGTCTACGAGTGGAGGACTTTTATTAGGTAGCCAATATCACTTTCAGAGCTGGAGAAATTATGTCCTTTATTGCCTTTTTCATAAATCCTGTTCATTCCCAGAATGCTGTATAATGCTCAGTAGTTATTCCTGCACAGCGAGGGTCCAGCCTATCTTGGGGATTGATTTGGAATTGTTTAAGAAGCCTGTTTTGTTTTTGATTGTTGACTTTGGCGTTTGGAAACCACATTCCAAAGCAAAGCTACACTGTGCAGAGGAAGCACTTTTGTGTACTTTTTGGTTCTTGGCTCCTCTGTGAACTTCTCTCCCAGATAACAACACTCATTTTTCTCTTTCCTCTCTCTCTCTCTCTCTCTCTCTCTCTCTCTCTCTCTCTCTCTATCTCTCTCTCTTTTTTTTTCTTTTTTCTTCTTTTTTTCTCTCTCTCTCTCTCTCTCTCTCTCTCCCCATGACTCCAGAGCATAGTCTGAAATGGATGTTACATGAATCACTTTAAGGGCTGCACACAACTATGAACGTTTTGAAGCCTTTTTCTCAGTAAAGTAGATCAAGATGGATGAGTCTGCCCTGTTGGATCTCCTGGAGTGCCCCGTGTGTCTAGAACGCCTGGATGCTTCTGCAAAGGTCTTACCTTGCCAACATACGTTTTGCAAACGATGTTTGCTGGGGATTGTGGGTTCCCGGAATGAACTCAGATGTCCTGAGTGCAGGACTCTGGTTGGCTCTGGTGTGGAGGAGCTTCCCAGTAACATCCTACTGGTCAGACTTCTGGATGGCATCAAGCAGAGGCCTTGGAAACCTGGCCCTGGTGGGGGCAGTGGGACCAACTGCTCAAATGCATTAAGGGCTCAGGGCAGCACTGTGGCTAACTGTAACTCAAAAGACCTGCAGAGCTCCCAGGGTGGACAGCAGCCTCGCGTGCAAGCCTGGAGCCCCCCAGTAAGGGTGAGTAACCTCCAGAGGCAGTTGGGTGCATGAAGGTGGTGATGGCTACAGCTTTTCTTTATTCTTTAGCTTGATATTTTCTACATCAGCTCATTGCCCAAGAAGCCACACCTATTGGAGCAGATAAGAGACGAAACCTCAGGATCTTGTACTTTCTTTCTTTTTTCCTCTTGGGATGAGGTCTGATATGAATAATAAATTTTCTTGTTTTTAAGATTCTCTCCAGATAGACTCTATTTTCTGGTAAGATACAGTTTAGAAACAGCATTTTCTCAATGCAACCTAAAACAGCAGCTATTTTTTGTTTTTTGGCTATTTTAAAATGAAAATTTGGTATCCTCTTACCCTTTTGATGGAGTTGAGTCTTAATTGTGTGTGTGTGTGTGTGTGTTTGTGTGTGTATTTATGTGTATAGTATGTTGTAAATAGGCCTGTGGGTAAATCAGAGATAAGAAAGCAAGCCTTAATTTTATGCTTCTTAGAGTCAGTCTGTTGGTTTTATGAATGCACAGCACAGAATATACTGGTTGGAGGAATTTTTAACATCATGGCCACAGGTAGCAGCATCGTTGCCGTAGCAACACTGTATCACATAGGACCACACTATTACATCTAGCTGTATGTGGGGTTTTATAGAGAGTGGAGTGAAATTCTTCCATCAAAATGATTTTTCTTGGTGTGGGCTGAAATAATTCTAGGTGAAGTTAAGTATATATTACTGTTACTACAACTTAAATTTCTAGAAGGTAGCATATTCCAAATAAATATGGATTATGTTTCACATGATGGCTTCCTGATAAGATATCTGTGCTTTTGTTGTTTTTCATAAAAACGAGGCGTAGTCTTGGACATCAGGCAGTGAAAATCATTCCATTTTTGTTGGAAGAAACAATTTTGATAATAGGCCTAATATTTGGTAATTGGCCAAATTGATTTTGCAGTCTTTTAAAACAGTTAAGCTGGTTGAGAATGCTTTTTTTTTTTCAAACACTCCGAGGTAAAACCCAAAACGGATGACTTTCATTTAATGGAGAACCACCCAGTGGGATGGCAGTAGAGAGTATGAATTCCCAGATGTGGGTATCAGACAGCTGTGGAAGAGTAGTTCCCTTATACCCTTCTGAGGCTCATCTTTACAAATGATATAATGTATTTACGTGTGAAATATGTAAAGCATTTTAATCACTAGAACTGCTTGGATTACTAGAAAATACGTTCATCTCTAGACTCTCAGGTTTCTTTTGATTCATATATATATATTTTTAAAGATTGGACTAGGATGGCTTTCTTCCTTTCTTTTTCTTTCTGTAGCCCAGGCTGGCCTCTGACTCACTATGTATCCTAGACTGGCCTCGAGACTCATGTTCCTCAGCCCACTAAGTGTTGGGATTACAGGCAGGAGCCACCATGCCAATTTGGGGGGCTTTCTTATTTGGAGCCCCACATGTGAAATGGATCTGCTAGGCTTCTTTGACATTGCAGGGTTTACTACTGCTTTGCTTAGTACATATAGGGTCATGGATATTTTAATCCCAGAACTGGTGATTGGGTTGATTATCTGAGACATGGATCCAGGTCTGTTTACCTTAATGAAAGGGTAGATTTACATCTTTGGGGAGGTTTTGTTTCCTGTTAATTAGACCAGCCAGAGCAGAGCTTCTGGCTATGAATAGGAGTGTCTGAGTTGTTGACACTTCCCTGTACCTGTTGGGAGGAATTCGATGAATGTTTGATCACTGATAAAAAGGAACTTAAGGGAAGGCTCAAGCCTATTGGATTTTTAAATTTTCTTTCTAACCTAGACTTGGACTGTGTAGTACTAGAAAGCTCTCGTATCTGAACTGCTAGGCTTCTAAAATTTAACATCTTTCTAGGGTATTTGGAGATTTTTGATCTTGTTAATACTAATTTTTAGTTTATATGATTCTCAATTTGCTTTCTATTTTTTCTTTGACATGCGAGAAATAATTTGCAAAGAAGCTCAACTGAACTCAAGCCTTATTACCTTGGGAAAAATAGTTGAGTTGGAACAAACAGGAGATATGGCTGTTACTTTGCAGAAGGTGGGGCAGGAGGCAGAAACAACAGACAAGCAAAAGTTCTCTGTCTGCTGGAAGCAAATGATGTCATGATCATTAAAAAAACACTTCTGTTTTTCATTAGCCCTTACTAAAACTGCCTTTTGCTTTTAAGTGTTCAGAATGACCAAAGCTTTACATATATAGAGTTCATACCTGAAAGATAAATACATCTCTAGAATCAACTCCTTTTAAAAGTTAGAAATGGTAGCACACAGCCGCAAGGAGGTTGTAATGCACCCTTTTGGACACTCCCTGAAAGTGAGTGACTATAATAATAAATCCCAAACGTTCATCCTCTTTGCTTAAATGTTCTGACACAACCAAGTGGGGCGATGAGCCTGTTTCCACATGTTGAGTGAAGCTGAAAGTGAGAACATGTGGGATGTTGCTTCAGTTTACTATTTGTGTTCCGTGTTGATGTTGGCCATGTGGCTTCCTCGTGCATTTAGCTGAGGTAGACTGAATGTTATCAGTAGATACAAACATTTCCAATGTGTGACACATATCTTGTTCCCAGAATTTAGTGTTTCCTGCTTAATTAGAGAGAGAAAAGGAAAGAGTCAGTGTTGGACTGGAGTTGCTGTGGGATCTGCCAATTCTTTATTTCAAGCAAAGAATTCTGTTGGTTTTTGGCCAGATTCAAGCATTGGAATGAACCACAGTGGAGCGACTGCAGATATTGTTTCAATGAACTGAAAAAATGTACTTATAGAATCTTATAGCTGCATAGCCTTCTATATACTGTCTAATGAATATATATGTAGACATGGTGTGGAAAACTGTCTTTGAGTAGTTCCTATAGCATTGTAACCTAATAGAATGGTTAAATTTCTGTTTTCCATAGTTTAGTTGGGCTTGTTTATTAAATATTTGTTTGTTCATTGGTTTTTTTAAAAAAATGATCTTGCCACATAGCCCAGGCTGGCCATAAACTTAAGGTCCTTCTACCCCAACTTTCTGAGTGCTGGGATTGGATTTCAAGTGTGTCCCACGACATGACTCCACTGATTTGAGATCTGTTCATTATTTTTGTGTATCTATCCATCCAGGTATCTTTTTCAATGATTTTACACTGTGTCCAATTTCAAATGAATTTATTTTGCAAAAATAGATTGTGTGACCACTGACGTACACTGATTTGTGACTCCTTTATTTTGTCTTTTATTTAATAACTATTTATTAAGCATTACTCAGTGCCAGATTCATGAACTTCTGAGTGTGTGGTCAGTTTCTTGGGAGAAATTAGTAACAGCAGTGCAGGTATATAACGAACATGATGTGATGGTCCATGATGGAGAATTAGCAGAGCGGATTGGAGAAGGACCTGGAATTCAATGTGAAAGGGAATGTGTTTTTGTGTGAGGTCCTCAAAAGCTTCTCTGAGGAAGAGGTGTTTGAGTTGAGATCTTAGCAGTGAGGTGATAATTAGGTGGCTGGGGCTGAGCAGGGGAAGGGGCAGATTGGAAGAGCGTAGTGAAAACCTTGGCTTACCCCAGGAGGGGCTTGACACCTAGGGATACCCGACAGAAGGTGAAGGTGACCTAAGCAAGCCATGGGGATAGTGACTAGGCTTCAACAGCATATGAAGAAGATGTCATAGTGCACAGAGGACTAAGGCCAGATGGATGGGTACTAATAGTAAGTGCTCTGAATTTGGGATTGGAAAGATAGATCACTGCAACTGGGTGATCAATAAGACTTTAGAGCAAGTAGGGGATTGGAGGTTGATATCAAAGATTGAGACGAGAGAGGAAAATCTAGAAGGGGGGCACACAGGTCAAATTTCTTTTCCACTGAAAGTGCCAGCTATGTGTTCATTTCTTCATAGACCCAGTTGTACCTCCTTCCTCTCCCTTTTCACACTGGGGACTGTGTTTCTCTAAGTTCCTCTTGGTTTTTTAATTTTATTATTTTTATTTTTATGTGTATGAGTATATTGCCTGCATGTATGTAAGTGCACATGTGTTGTGCAATGCCTGTGGAGGTCAGAGCTGAATTGGAGTTATGGGCAGTTGTTAGCCGCCATGTGGGTGAACTGAATCCAGGTCCTCTGCAAGAGCAACCAGTGCTCTTAACTGCTGAGCCATCTCTCCAGCCCCCTAAGTTTCTCTTGTTGAAGTACTAACGCCCAGTACCTGAGAATGTGGGTCTTTTGGGAGATAGGGCCCTTAAAGTAGTGATGAAAGCAGTTAAAATGAGGCCACATATGTGGACTTAATCTAGTGAGGCTGCTTTCCTCAAAAGAAGAGATCAAAGCAGAGAGAGAGACACACACACAGGGAAGACCAAGAATTGGGAAATAATGTGGCCTAATCCCGAAGCCCCAGGCTGTAGGATGAAATGGGTAAGTATCTGTGTGACGAGACCTGTGTTGAGTGGTCCCTGGATTAAGTGCTCAAAGAGTGTGCCAAGTGTGGAGTGGAGTGGTCCAGATGTGCTCCCCCATGTGTGGGAAGTTCAGTACAGACACTGTCACAGGAACTGACATCTCTGCATAGATGGGAACAAGCATCTGTAATAACTCATGCTGGATCTACACTACATTTAATGAGGTGATTTGAGTGAGGAAGTTGTTCCCATGTTTCAGAGTGGCTGGAATGAATAGAAAAGGTAAGATTTTTTTTCCGTCAAACAGTTGTTGCTGATATTGACCTTGTATTTTTTTTTGCCCTTGACCCCTACTTTATGTCTCATGTAGGCTTTGGCCTAGACCTCAGTGGTAAGGCTCAAGAATGTGCCCTCCCCCCTTTTGTGGTGGTAGTGCTGAAACCTGGACCTCATACTTGCTATGGAAGTACTTACCTTCCATTGAGTTATGCCTCACATCTCCAGCCCTAGGCTCTGGGATCTTGAGTGGGGTAGAAGGCAGGAATAGGGAAGAAAGTCTTGGTTTACACTAATTGGTGATTAAAAGAGTAA